TTTTTGATGCCTATTTAGTTCTTTTTGGATGTCTATTTAGTGTTTTTTTGATGTCTATTTAGTTTTTTTTTGACCCCTCTCCCCTCTCGCGCATCTGCTTCGGAGTTGCCGTTTCCAGCTCCTCCGTTCGGCTCGCGAGTGTGACGTACACAGAGTCCTCACGGAGCCAACAACATCGGCAAAATCTCCAGGTAAGGGTTCAAGCTGTTCTATCCACAGAAGGCTACGCGTAGAGGCTTAGTCGTAGAGTAGGCATTTCGGGCATCTTGATGATCCCTCCGCACCTGCTTGAATTGAACTGGAAGGTCGCGATCTAGCCATGCTGTGCCCAGTAACACCAAGAAAGTTGGAGATTCCGCTGCTTTTGCGCCTGGCTGCAGCGCGAATTTGTGCTAACACAGGTCGAGCATCTCTCTTTTAGCAAAGCTTCCAGCACTCTCCATGATGTTTCTGATCTCAGCAGCTGCAGCTTTCAGGCTGCCAAAAGTGGTGCATGGGTACCTTGTCACATCCACCGGCCACAGTATGCAGCTGCCAGCTGGAATTATAATTCGCGGTTGGGGCTTCTCGAACAGTTCAAGCGGCTCCAGCAACTGACACAATTGCGCCACCTCTGCTCGAAGAACCGGGGACGTCTCCACGACGATGACAACTACCTTGTGTCCTTGAATGTCGGCTTCCTCACCCTCCATATCTTTCGTGACTATCTTTCGGAAGTTCCGCAACCTCGGCAGCTCAGCTGTGGACGTGCATCGGCAAAAAACAGCCCTTGATTTCAACTGGTTTCGTTATGCACGACTCCCTGGTGCTGTGCAGTCCTGACAAAAATGCAACTGGTAAACAGCTCCCGCTGATCTTCGCTGACGGCCGTGTCCACCCGAGTCTTTTCCTCTGCTTTGTGAAGCTTTCGCGACACGAGACCCAGCAAGCACCTGGCCGCAGGCCCCCCAAGCGAAGCAGGCAAATGACACTATGCTGCTGCTGCAGCGATCGCATGACAATCCCTATTCAAGAGAAGCATGAAGAGGCATCTGTGGTCGGAAACTCAGTGCCTCTGCTGCTCGATAAGGGAGCGCTGCCAAGCAGCTTGGGTCTTCAAGCACCTGAGCAGGCCCCCGGGCCACAGGGCGTGTGTTCATCATCCTGACCTGCTGCCAAGCAGCCGTGTGGACAAAGTCACAGATCCAGATGCAGTGATCATCTCAAACACCGACGCCTGACAAATCTGCGCACATGCCACAGCTCCAATTCCAGAGTTTGTGGCAGATGCTGATGCTTGCCTTGCCCATTTCTTGCGATGAATGGTAAGACATTCGGTCGTGCCCATCCATGTCATCAACTTCATGGATGTTGCTGAACGCTTCGTCCAATTCTCTCTCCTGGCGGTGAGTGAAGGGCTCACCAGAAGGCCAAGCCCGATGGTAGCCGTGAAACTCACGAAGCCCAACACATATTCCAAAATAGTGCAAAGTTTGCACTGACTAGCGTGGAGCAAACAAAAACTGGATGCCCTGGTCCTGTATGCTCTGCAACCGCCGCGGGCGGTTGCCTTGCTGAGCCATAATGCCTGCATCATGTACCGTGGCGAGGAACTGGAGGAAAGATGGCGTCTCCACGCCACCGAGCCTTAAGAGCTTGTGACTCGATGCTGGCTCCCTACAGTCGGATTTAAACCCCTAGTGCCCACTATGCAACTTGCAGACGTGCCACCCGTGCTTTCGGTTGAAGTCAACGAAGGATGTGCAGCTGAAGTTGCTGAAATTGGAACAGCTCCGGTTGAAAGGCAGCCTCCTCGAGGCCAGAGCGCGTATGCCAGCTTCTTGCAGCAATCTGCTAGACGCTACACAGCGAGAGGGAGGGAGGGAGAGAGGGAGAGAGAGAGAGCGAGAGAGAGCGAGAGAGGGAGAGAGGGAGGAGGCTGCGAGCACAGACTCGGATCTCCTCATGCCTTCCGATTCGATCACGCTACCTAAGAAAATGGCCCAATCCCTGCACAGACACTGCAAGGATGCTCGAATTCCAGGTCCCCCTGGGCTCAGTGCTCGCGTTGGAGGTGCCACGGTACAAGCCCAGCGGTCTGAGAGGGTCGACAGAAGAAAAACAGTGCTCCGTGCTCCGTCTCAAATCGAGAGCGTGCCTGATCCCCTCCTCGTTGTGCACATAGCCTGGATGTTCAGCTGTTTGGCTTTGCCGGACTCTTCCTGACTCTCCCTGGCCCCGGAGGCTACCCTCCCTTCTGTCTTATGGTGACGTGCATATGATTAATCTTGACTTGTAGCTTGTTGCAGCGATGGCGTCTGCCATTGCTTGCCGTTAAATTGGTGCTGCTTGACATGCACTGCCTGTGGTGCCATGCCGCTTGATGAAGCATGGATTGGTCGCATGTTGCATCCAAGCTGCTGCCTGAGGCCATCAACCCCAGTCGCCTTCCACAGGGCCGTACTTTGTGAGCAAGACCGCAGCTGCCCCGAGCTGGACTCGAATTGGAATTGAAGCTTCGCGTGCACTCGCCTTTGCAGCGCACCGAGCCCACCTCCACCAACGCTGCCGGTACCTCGGTCATTAAATCGACAGCATTTGGCATATTTGCCGCATGTGTACCGATGAGCCCCTCATGCCAAGCTGCTACAGTTTGAGCTGCTCCTCCTGCCGAACTGCCTCGGCCAAGACCCCGGCACCCGCCCTCCCTTCCCCCAAACTGGAAGTTCCTTGAGCGCCCTACCTCCGTAAGAACGCACTGGCAGTGTCTCCCTTCTCGCTGCCTCAGGACGTGCATTCTTGATGCTGGTTGGGTATGCGAAGTTCTGCATGCTCAACCTTCTATGCAGCAGGAGTCGCCCATAGATGAACTGCGGTTTATCGCCTGCCTGCAAGACGTTGCAGCATGGTGTTTGCCAGGCACCGTATTTAGTTATTTTGCATCTGCACATCCAGGGTTTTTGCAGTGTCGCAGACAAGCGTGTTTCAGCAACGTTGCCTGCAACTGGCGTTGCTGACGTTCGAGGTGCTGTGGTTCAGTCCCAGCAGCCTGTCGGCTCAGGCAGGAGAGAAGGACGAGACCGTGGCTAAGCCCTGGCAGGACAATCCACGGGCCTCGGAAGGCCCAAAGTTCCATCGTTGCTGCCTTCAGCACAGCTTCAGCAAGAAAGACAGCCAGGATTCACGGCCAATCTGCCTGAGGCTAGACTGAGCACTAATTTGCAAGCACGGGCACTCACAGTGGAGGAACTGTGCTGCAAGTGAGCAGGCCTCTCAACAACTGCACAGCGGGATCGGATCGCTCTCACGTGTACCGACAGAGCGCAGAGCACCTGGGGAGGCCAAGGGTGCCGTCGGAACTACCTGGGCTGCACTTTGCTTCAAGCTCTGTGAAAGGCAGCAAGTGCAGCCCCATGTTAGATCAGAGCCAACCTGATGCTGCCAAGGACACTGACACTTGAGCTGTGATTCAAGCCGCCAGGCCTGCAAGCATCTCACAATCCAAACGGTGCGAGGGTGTTCGTACGCAGGTGCTTCAGACAGATAATATAATACAATATTATATTATACTATATTATGTTATACTATATTATATTATTATATATTATTATATATTATTATATATATTAGTATTTATTATTATATATATTATTATATATAATAGTATTTATTATTATATATATTATTATATATTATTATATATTATTATATATTATTATATATTATTATACATTATTATATATTGTTATATATGATCCTTAAGTCTCCTCAGGAAGCGCGCCTGGGCGACCGTGGGAGGCCCAAAGTGCCATCCTGACTGCCTCGGCCAAGACGCGGCCAGACATGCTTTCGCTACAAGATCGATCCACATTATATGATATAATATGATATAATATTATATTATATAATAATCTAATATGATATAATAATATATGATACAATATGATATAATATTATATTATAAAATATAATAAAATATAATAATATAATGTCTATGCCTCCATGTACTCCCACTGCAGCCGGTGGTGCTGACGCTTGAGCTGTGGTTCAGGTGCCCAAGCCTGGCGTGGAAATCAGACACGAACTCCCGAGCAAGGACAGCGCCAAACGCTACCTTCGGCTATAGGTTTTGGTGATTCATTCGCTGTACTCCAACAGTCTGGTTCGTCCTGTGCTGTTGCACCTTTGTGGACGCGCACGCTTCAGTTTCTGTGAAAGGGACATGACATGTTGTAAAGTAATGATCCCCGCAACTCCGGCAAGCTACAACTGTTGCATGCTTTTGGGGCTGCACATTGCGAAGAACCGAAACAATCGAATGCTTATTGCTTGCGACCAAACCGACTGTCACAACTCCAGCTTTCCTTGCGAATGTCAGACGAAGGACAGGACCTGCTTTCTTTGGCCCGAAGTTCTTCAGCAGCAGAAACACCAACGACCAAAGGATAGATAATTGAAAAACTTGCACACAGCAGTAGCAGCAACAACAACAACAACAAATAGAAAGCAACACACAGCAAACAGCAAACACCAAACAACCACCAACCACCGCTGGGAAGGCCGGAGCCCGGCACCCAGATCACAGCAAGCGAGCCGGCTTCATCATGACTGTACCCAGCTATGATGCGGAGCCGCACCAAGGCAAAGGCCGCGTGTTGGGACTGAAGACGTTCCCAACCTGCGCCTTGTCTTGATAGACAAGATCGGCCGGCAGCCTAAGGATACGTTTCCCCCTTAGTACACCGGCTGCGATGTGCCGCAACCGGTGGCAGTTTACTTTGCTTGTGCCCGACACTGTGCATTCCGAAGCATTCCGAACACGCGATCCAGGTCCCACTTGCCAGCGAGCGCTCGCGGATGTGCAAACCAAGTAAGCTTAGAACGAACTACACAGGCTGCCGTGAACCGTGGCGGCAAAAACCAGCAGCAACAGCGAGAACAACCACAAGCATCACAACCCCCACCGCCAGTGGCACCTCTGGCACAACAACAGCAACAGCAATAACAATAACAACATTAAACCAAGAGCAGAAGAAGCCACCGGCAGCTTTCTCCGCGAAAACACATACAGAAGGCCGAAGGTCGCCCTGCAAAGACGATCTGAGCTAACACTCAGGTACTTGTACGCTTTGTGTTGGTTGGCCGTGTCTGCATGATTTAATTTGTGCTAGACTTTTTGCGTCTGTCAGGCCTGGGGGACCGCGGATGTCCCTGCAGAGCGTCACTGCCTGTCAGATCACGGTGCGGCAGCGAACTTTCGGCCGACATGTTAATCTGGTAGATTCTGGTAGCAGCAGTGGCATCATTATGCAGCTCAAGGGGCCGGAACTGGAGCTGTGCCTCAAAGAAACCGGCCTGGGAAAGGAGGGGCTCGGGCTCAGGCGCAGCGGGATGCAGGAAAGGCAGGCCTTTGCGGTTGCTGACTCGGGTCGGAGTTGCCTGGCATGACAAACACGTAATACCCCTGCCACTTCAGAAAACTCTGTGCAACATGTCCGGGAAGCTGTTTTCCTCTTTGGGACTCGCTCCCGTCCTCGAAAGGCAAAAGCGCCGAACACAACAAAGTATGGAGTCATGGCATGGATTGTGGGTGTTTCTGCCAAGCAGCTCTGAAAGCTCAAACGTGGTACAGCAGCTGGGAGGTTCTTGTGGCTCGCCGGCTACCCATTCAACTTCGGTCATATCGTCCTGGTGAGGCTGTAGCACTGTTTGAAGACACCTTTCTTGAAAGAGCTAGCGTCGCAGGCCCAGCTGTCTGGTCATCGCATGGCAGTCACAGTGTGACGACCAACTACAGTGCATATTATCTCTCTGCGCTTAATTCCGTTGAAAGTTACACAGGCCAGCCTTCATGAAAGCTTTGGCAAGGTCTCGCACAGGCATAGGCAACTGGGAGGATATGCTTCCAGCGACGGTGCCACCACCTGAACCGTGCTTCTCTCATAGCCCTTCTCCGTGCATTGCTAGCTGCTTGCCACCTAGGAACTATATGTGTATGTTTAGCTTAGATGATATCATGTTCGGATGTCAAAACAAAGCTCAGCGGCCCTTGTCAAAGTGTGCCCTCGGCTGCCCTGGCTGTGATCACCACTACTACTGTCCTCAAATGAGCATCACCATCCGCGCAGAGCCTTCCCAAAGACTTTTGCATCACAACACCACCATGAGCATCCTCATCATCATTGTCACCCCCTTCGAACGTAACGCGTCCACGTCATCACGACCATCATCATCATCATCTCATCACCTCATCACTCTTCACATCATCAAAATCATAGCCATCATCCTCCTCAGTAGAGGAATCAACATCAGCAACAATGTCTGCAACAACGCAACAATATTTCCGGCATCATCTTCACGAAAACCCTTACCCTGCACGCCCCGATCCGCTCCACTAACCTCAACGTCACCAGCACTACCGCCACCATCACCACTATCACCAACAATAAAAGAACAAAAACACCACAACCACCACCAACAACAAAACCAACACCAACACCAAGAACGACAGCAGCAACAGCAACAGCAACAGCCACAGCCACAGCCAAAGCAACAGCAACAGCAACAACAGCAGCAGCAGCAACAGCCACAGCAACAGCAACCACGACAACGCAGCGACAACAACTACCCAAAAACAGCCACCGCCACCACAACAACAGCAACAACAAGAAGAAGAATGATAACAACAACACTAAATAACAATAACAAGCAGAAGAATAACAATGAAAAGCACGACAACAATAACAACAACGGCGGCAACGACACCAAGAACAACAACATCACCAAGAACAAGAACAGGGAATACTGCGGCTGCTGCTGCTACTACTACTACTACTACTCCTCCTACTCCTCCTACTACTCCTACTACTACCACTACCACTGCTACCA